GCTTTCTGCTGGGTACTGCTCATCACGTCCGTAACTCTCCTCCCTCGACTTGAATGAACCTGGTTGGGCCGGTAGCCAGGTGCATGCATGGATTTAAGGCTGGAGAGAGAGAGAGAGAGAGAGAGAGAGAGAGAGAGAGAGAGAGAGAGAGAGAGAGAGAGAGAGAGAGAGAGGGTGAACCTACCACCGAGAATCGGCGATGCAAAAGTGAACAAAAGGGCGGACAGAGGTATGGGGCTATGTGTTAGCAGGCAGCTCCAATGAGTGTATGTTTCCATGTTCTAGCGGAAGACTCATCCTCTCTTCGATCATTTGGTGAGTAGCGGATGGAGGCTCTCGACAGGCTGCTTCTCGTCGCCACTGGTAGTTGTCCTGCTCATTCACGAGGGTGGTGCTAGTTTGTGAGTCGGAATGTTCTCCGTTCATCTTCGTGATCAGCACTTCGTTACGGTCATAATCGTGATCGTCGACGTTTAGTCGTTATCCGCATGCTCGTGCTCAAGGGATGAGAGGCAGGCGCTAGCAGAGAGTGTGTAGGAGAGATAGTGTTAGTAAGAGGAAGGAGTTGAAGACGAGGGGAGACAAAAGCTTGCTTACGTCGTTCCTGCATACGAGAAACTGTGAATTGGACTGTAAGAGGCAGACAACCTGGCCAAGGCGTGAGCCAGGTGCATCCAAACGGCCAAGAACACTAACACAGAGAGAGAAGGTGGAGGAGAGGGACAGTAAGGAAGGAAGGGAGATTGCTCACGTTGTGGGCCACAAAAATAAAAATAGTAAATGAAGTATAGTGACGTACCTGGCCGTGTCCAAGCGGAAGAGTCATTCTCACTTTGCAGTCCTTCCTTTCTTTCGTAGCAGCGGGCGGAATTAGCTGGCGCAGATGATGTCGTCCGTTATTTCGAAGCGTATCTTCCCACGTTCTGGGGGAAGATTCTTCCTCATTGTGCATACAACGTGAGTGGTGAAGTGGGCTCGTGGCCAGGATTCCGCTCGTCGCTCTCGTACCCCGGAGGTCGTGTTGGTTGTGGAGAGGCCATTTTGTTAGCCATCATGAACATCGGTGTTGGGACCTGCTGCTGTCCGCTTTTGGACTTTTTAGAGCTGCTGGGTGCGTGGAATCCAAACTGTATTTGCCCTTGTCTTTGGCCTGGTAGATTTGGAGTTAGTATAAATCAGTGTTACTAATGGCCCTCCGTCCTGTTGTTATTAACGAGTGGTGCGTTGTTAGTATGGTGGCACACGAGGCTACGGGTTGATTTCTAGTCCAGTCAGTCCGCTGGGGTATAACCCAGCTGTTGTCTGTTTTTGAGATGGAGTACGTGTGTTGGAGTCCAGCGTGGGAGCTGCGCTGTGCCATCTCGCTCCCCCTTCATCCTCCATCTCCATCTCTATCCCAGGCGGAGCACCACACCTGGTGGGTCCGCCACAGTAATAGCTAACCTGCGTCATCCCAAGGGTGTGTGTGTCCAGCCGTGCGTCAATCTAACGCCCTGCCGGTGTCCATGCACAAGGCTGCGGATTTGAACCCGCAACCTCATACCACAATGGGCATTTCCAACCGGTGCTCTAACCACTGCCATGTACTCCCGCAGGACATGACTTTTGACTCGACTAAACGGGCGGCTTCAGAAAGCAAAGCAAAGAAAATAAAATTGGACACGTTGCCCCAAATACAGCTATAATGACCATAGGTTCTATTTGAGGGAAAACGGTAGCAACCACCAAGACTGAAAATGTTTTCCTTCTCTTTTCTTTGTTTCCTTTTTGAAAGACTGCATCCGCACCATGTTCAAAGTTACAAATTCTCTACCTTCCTATCACTACTCCTAAGACTATATAGAGGGGACCCCTGCAAGCATAGGGCCTCGCAAACAAGGTAAGTCATGGTTCTACCAACAACCCTGTCTCAGTTGGTGCGCCCAATGAACTGTTGAAATACAGACGCAAGTTCAAATCCAGATGCAATCAGATGAAATAAAACACTTCTGAACAACCTCGCCCCGTCTGCTCAATAATGATATCTCAAGGAAGTCGCTCTTTTTTTCCGTTTTTGAAAAAGATGGGAGTTCATTGTATACCCCCTCCCAAGTGCCCAACTTTCGTCTATACCCAGAAAAGGCCTGTGGAAATTATGTCTATGCCTGGGACCCAGGTGGGCCAAGTTTGGTACTGCCATATTGCAATCATTCCCAACCACTGGAATGGACATAACTGGGCAAATTATTTGCATGCCCAATTTTGCCCGCCCGGTTTCTGGGCATGAGCATAATTCTGTGCTTCTGTGGGACCAGGTACAGGTATAATTTAGCTCATGGAAAACCACCAGTATGTCTCGCAGCCAAAGAATAAGCTACTGATCCGACAGTACTTAGGTCAAGTACTGTGGGGATCCGACGCCGGAGATGTCGGCACAATCGCAGGCCATTTTGGAGTTGGGGTATCGTGGCACGGATTTCATTCCGCAAGAAACTGTCCCATTTTTCAATAGAGCCGCAAACGGTCTCTGCAGCACAAAAGATGGGGAATGTTTTTTTTTTTTTTTTTTTTTTTTTTTTTCGGATTTTGTCATGTCTGGGTCCAACAGCTTTCAAACAGCCACACACAAAGGGATGGTCGCTCAAAGCCCTCCCACTGGACCTCGTGGACTACATAGTCTTTTCGAGGAACCGGGGATGGCCACACAAAAGCAGCGGTGCTGTCGTCATACCTCCTTCTTCGGTGGGACTGTGGGGTCCCGTTTTTCTTTCACGAGCCTCATGGTACGGCTCGGACTTTTCGGTTCTTTTACGTTCTCTTGCGTTTGAAGTACTGTCGGATCAATACTTAAAATATGATGCTTGCATGCTGCCACGACTTTCGGGGCTCGGCCTACAGGGCAAAATGGCTGGCAGCGCCCGGCAAAAGGAGGCCAGCACCGGTTTGTTTGGTTCAGTTTTTCCTGGCACTGCAGGCCATTTCCAGCCCCGGAGAAAAGTGCCACGGACCCCGCCTTCCAGAAATTTGTTCGCCGCCTGCTCCGAAATTTGGGCGGCGCGGGCCTACCTGTCCACAATGGCTGGCAGTGCCAGCCAAAAAGTAAAAGTTGGCGCTGGGACTTGGTGTAAAGGGAATGGGAAAATTGCATCTGTACCTAGTCCCACAACCAACTTGCATCTATACGCGGAAAATGGCCATTGGAAATTATTTTCATGCCCAGGACCGAGGTGGACCCACGTTGGTACCACAAAATCACGGTTATAACCAACTACCAGAATGCACAAATTATGGATGTACGCAGGCAAAATTATGGGTATGCCTGGCACCTGAGGTGGACCGACCAAATGATTTATATACCTACGACCGGATGGGGAAATTATGCTCATACCCATCAGCCGTTGGGCCACAATGGTTCACTTGGTGGGCATGAGTATAATTCCGCGGTCCGCCAGCCAAGGCCCACCCCTGGGTGTGGGCACACCCATAACTTTGCAGCCGAGTTTCTGGGCATGAGCATAATTTCGTGGTAGGGAACAGAGAGCCTGCAGGACGGGGTACACCTACAATTTCGTACAAGGGGAAAGTCGCGTACTGTGCAACAGGGTCCAGGTATAGATGCAAGTTCACGTTGGGACTGGGTATAGATCCAATTCTCCCGAAGGGAATTTCCATCTTTTCTTTTCTTTTCTTTTCTTTTTCACCTTTCACTATGTACCTACCACTACCATGTAGCTCAGTGGTTAGAGCACCGGTTGGAAATGCGCATTGTGGTATAAGGTTGCGGGTTCAAAAGTCAGTTGCAGCCTTACGCATGGACACCGGCAGGGCGTTAGAATGACGCACGGCTGGACACACACCCCCTTGGCCTGACGCAGTTAATCTATTACAGACACTGCCTGCGCACCACCCAAGGGTTAGTCCGGGTTAGGTCTGGGTTGCTGTATACGCGAGTTGCTGTATGTCGGATTCTACCTACGCGGGTTTACTTGAGGACATTGGCTACTGGTTGCTCTGATGATCTCCCCAATCACCTGTCATACATGGTACATACTATAGTCTGGCATAGCTGTTATACACACATATTCATAGTGTCAGATCGTTCTCGATACCTATACTGCCTACAGACACACCTATACACCGTCTTAGGGCGTACACCCGTGGCCTATGGGGAAATTGCACAGCCTATGGTCACTGATATACTGCTTACACATACACACAGGTTACGATACACACCTATACACCCATATACACACAGGTTACGACTTAGACACTAGGTGGGGGAGACAGATCTCAGTCATGGGTTCGTCATGGGGTTCAGATACACACCTATACACCCATATACACACAGGTTATGACTTAGACACTAGGTGGGGGAGAGTCATGGGTTCGTCATGGGTTCGTCATGGGGTTCAGATCCAGGCTACGGGGAGTCTGCTCTGGTCTGTGCGAATACTTGGCTGCGATTCAGTTCGTCGGTATGGACTAATAGTGATACTGATTGTGCCTGACATCCGAAGTCCCTCGGGTAACATGGTTTGCGCGTTCAGGCTTCCAAAGGGGCTGGGTGGGGTAGCTGTCTAGTCCAGGTGCCTATAACTACTGTTCGGTCTAAGTCATCCTCTGAGGGTAGGGTGATTGTCCTGAGTGCTTGTAACACTGAGGTAAGATAGTAGGTATAAGGGGTGCATTACGAGAATTGAAGTGAGGTAGGGTAGGGAGGCAGTCCTGTCGTTGCGCGTCAGTGTACCCACTCGCTGGTTGAGCTGGAATAGTTCCAGGAAGTTAACCCCTCCAATATCAGAATATGTGGGAGCAGGTCAAGGAGTGATGCGCTAGCGCTGGCACCCTGACGCCGGCGGACTGGTAGGCCCGGTTCCTCCCGGCTCGACTAGTGCCTGGGGAGGTAAGCTCCCAGGCTGCTAGGCCTGTGCGCGGGCCAGGCAGAAGCACGTGGCTCTTTGATTGCCACGTGGCATCTGCTGTAGGGACGTGAACGTCCGCGACACGTGGGCAGGGGTAGCGCCAACAGTGAAGATCGACGACGAATTGCAATACGTGGCGCAGCACTCCGGGCGAGGGATGGAGATGGAAGGGGAGCTACAACGTGAAGCACTTCAACTACAGGATAAGCTCTTTTATAATGAAGACGAAGTCTCGCTTACAGAAGATTCTGAAGGTGAGCAAGACGATGATCATGAAGCACGAGGGATAGAGATGGAAGACAAGCTACAGCATGAAGCACTTCGACTACAGGATAAGCTCTACAATAATGAAGACGAAGTCTCGCTTACAAAAGATTTTGAAGGTGAGCAAGATGATGATCACGATGTTCTTCGCTATTATACAAATATCTGCGCTATAGGTGAGATCTAGGATTCTGGAAAGAGACGAGTTGTGCTGTTGCGGTGCGTGAGTGCGACGAGTATGATGGGGGGGGAGAAGAAAGGTGGGTTAACCTGATCACACCCTCTAACTAGGCTGAGGATGAGAGTGCAGATGGGGATGGAGAGAGGGAATATGCCGCTGATGACACTGGTGAGTGGGAGGTTGGGGATGAGTGTGTAGATGGCAATGGAGAGGGGGAATATTCCACTGATGACGTGGCTGAGTGGAAAGAGGAGTGGGGACTATTGGCAATGGTGGAAATGGTGGCAGCGGCAGCGGCAGCGGCGACGGCAAGAGTAACAACAACAATAATGGAGGTGGAGCAGGGATTGGAAGAAGGGAGGCAAGGAATGGGCGGGATAGGCGAGACGGGCGGGATAGTTGACAACAACAATGATAATAACATCATTGACAACAATAACAATAATAACCTCAACAATGGTGGCGAGCGGCAAACGGGTGAACTGGGTGGGATAAACGTGAAGGAGGATAACAACAACAACAACAATAACAACAACAACAACAACAACAATGGCGACACCAACGCAATGGAGGAGAGGGGAGAGAACGTTGACAACAACAACAACAACAACAACAACAACAACAACAACAATAACAACAACAACAACAACAACAACAACAACGAGATGGTAGAGATGGGTGAGGATGTTGACAACAACAACAGTAACAATAAAAATGACGGAGAGCAGGGATTGGGGGAAAAGGGTGCGGTGGGTGAGAAGGACGACATAGACAACAACAACGATGGCGATATCAACAACAACAATAAGAAGAAGAAGAAGAATAGCCACGACGATGGAGAAAGTGACAACCACGGAGGTAGCGGGGCAGAGAGCCTGAGCGGTGCTTCTGCAGCCTTGATCCTTATCAACATCATGAGACAGATGTCGTCAAAAGGGCAGTGGAGGGGATCTCGTAGCTTGTTGCGGATGGCGAAGTGGGGCTTGAGGTTGAAGGTACGATTTGGTACTGTTCCCCCCCACCCTTACTCGGTGTTTTTCCATGATGAATCGTCTCTTTTTCTCTGGCACCGGGTGGGGATAGGATAGATGATCTTGCGATGATTAGGATTGGTTGCCTCTAGTTCTCAGTCTCTTGCTTCGTCTGATCCAGCTGTTTGAGGATCATTGTCCAGGGATCGAATTCTCTGTGAGGTCGCGTTGACGGGCTTGACGTTGTTACTCACAACACGATCGCCTTCAAGAAGGTTTAGGGAGGCGACGGTGTCCTATGTATCTCTTCTATCCAGTGCACTTTCCTAAGGGGCTGTACCAGCACTGGCTATGGGAGGAGAAGGTGCTTCTCTCGCAGGAAGAGGCGGGGGATGATTTTGGTCGGGATAGTGGTCTGGCAGTTGGATTAGGAGACGACGAGAGTGGATCGTCTCGTGATGACCTGGAGGGTTGGCAATTTTACGCAGTTGAAGACAACTTCACGAGGTGATGAGAGCTCGGCGCGCAGCAGCTTCTCAACGCTGTCATCTTAAGTACTGCTTAAAATTTCCATAGTATCTTAGGGTTATGAGTTCAATAGTGTTTTTTGTTTTGGTTGTTTCCACGATAGCTCGCTTGACTTTGCATTACCTGTTTGTTTTTCCATGTTGTTATCCTTGACTTTTATCAAAACGATGATGATCTAATATTCGTGCTACTTTGTAGTTCTTGATAATCATATGATGATCTTGTTTTTGTCTGCTTTTGGGTGTAAGGTTGTTTGAGGTTCAACTTGAGTTTTGTAGGGTTTGGGCTCACAAGTATCGTTCGGGTTTATTTCCTCGGGATTGGAGCTCCTCCCTATGAGGGTTACACAAGGTGGGAGGTGTTGTCCTTGAGAGGGTAGGGGCGGTATTGTGGGCTGTCTTTCTCTAGGCCATGCTGATTTTCGGGTCGCATGGTGGTTGGGGAGAGTGGACAAGGGATGGTGAATTCAGCAAGAGGTGAGGTAGAGAGTGTTGTTTCACTGGGAGGGGGTGGGACAGGAAGAAAGGGGGAATTCCAGCTCTGCGGGGGCATACTTTAGGGGGAATTGTATGCTACTGAGGGAGTAGGGATGACCGTTTAGAGGGCTGTTCTGAAACTGGGGCCGGCGAGGTGAGGGGGCACCTCCCGGCGGAGGCAATGTATGGACAGAGGGTCGTTTTTTAGGGAGGAGTAATCTCGGTTTTTTTGTGAGCTCTTCATTTATAGTTGAGCTTCGAATAGACACCGAAACCTTCTCAGGATGAGAGGTTAGTTTCCCCTCCCCTCCTCTCTTTTCGTGGGGGTAGAAGGTGATGACCTAATTTTGTTATTGTTTTTTTTCTGGTATGTGATCTTCTTAATAAAATCATGGATTTATTTTTTACTTGATTTTTCTCGTACACAATTGATTGTTGATTTGTTTTTTTACTTGGTACTTCCTGATTTACCGTCTGAGTGATTTCTTGAACTGTGAGTTCTGATTTGTTTGTTGGTATTTCCTGATTTACCGTCTGAGAGATTTTTTGAACTGTGGGTTCTGGAAATCAGAGTTGAAAGTCTGTTCGGACATCAGATTTGATCCTCTATTTGGTTTCCCTATTTAGTTTTTCAAATCTTATTAAATCGTATACTATCTTCACCTCGATTGATCGCCTGAATTTGATGTTAAATTCATGTTTCCAACCTCTGTTGATTTTTTATTTTATTTTTTTTACCAGAAACCCGTTGTATCAGATTGGAGTGCTAATAAGAGCATACACTCCTACCTGACACACTGGGGGCTCCAGTCTATTGGTGGGGAGCTGCACCTGCTGGAAAACGGGTCCAGCGTCCCTTCTGTTGCAATATAGAGAATAAAAGATGAGCTTTTGCTGGGAACCGGGCCCAACGTCCCCTGTACCTCTTCACCCTCAATAGAGTGGCGCCAACTAGACCATTTAAGCTTTGGTACTGATGAGATAATGGTGACTCTACTACTTCGTTGTCTTGTCTATCTTGTGTGACCATGTGTGTCCGTTTCACTGATCCGACGTGTGAGACTGCAATAAAGAACATTCTAGCACTTACTCTAGTAATACCTATTATAAATCATCCCCAATTCCAAACCAAGAACTGGGGACAACCAAAGGGGGGGGGGGGGATGGGTCAGGAAAATCTGAGACGGGTCACAGGGGGATTGAGAGGTCAATTGAACACCAGTCATTAAACACAATCTTATAGTTTCTTTTGATGACTCCATCCTCTGCCTCAGTAGTACCTTCCCATACCACTTTTCCAATCCCTCCCCCCTGGTTCCCACCAAGCCAAACCAAACTGAACTTTTGTATTTGCTGGGAGATTTCCTTTTTGTTTGATAAAAAATGAATTTTTTCCTTAGTGAGTTCCCATTGATTCAGGATGGTTGTCTGAATTTGTTCTTTCATTGTTTCTGTTAATTCCGGGTCATCCATCCTGACACCTTCCCGTTCATAGATGCATCTCCTCCTCCAAATGGTCCATAATACTGCCCTCCTGCTGAGAATAAATAAAATTTGGGTAAATTCGTGAAAAGGGTCAACATTCCATACTTCCAACAACAGGGTTTTCTATCCCCATGGCCACTGAGTCTTTGTTTCCAGAGTATTCCAGATCCTGTCCCACCATCTCCAAAGCCAAATTGAACCAGGGCATTGAAGAAAAATGTGTTCAATTGTCTCCGGAATCATTCTACTTGGATACGCAGTTTTGCACAGTTTGCACCAGGGTTAGATATGATCGTTTTTGTCATGTGATGTCGTTTTTGTCATGTGATGTTCTATCTGTTAACCAGTCATTAGTAGGGAGGCATCTATGTTTGATCTGCCATTGTAGGAAAACTATTTTGGCCGGTTTAAAGTTCTTGCTGCGAAACCATTTGATGTTTTTCAGGTCGTCAATGCCTAGGTTAAAATGTCTCATTCATCTGTCAGATACTCTGTCTTTTAGGTTGATTGTAGGACATAGCATTCTGTATGCTGATTTGACTGATAGCGAGTGGAGGGATCTGATATAATTTTTGTTTGTTTTGAGTTGCGACCCCCAATTCCATACAGCTGGATCCATTGCTAGGTGCGATATGGGAGTGTCGGGTCTGAAAACCAACCATTCATTCCCATTTTGCAATACTCTGATTCTGAAAATTTGATCTTTAACTACCCATCTGATTTCGTTCTCTGGGTGGGGGATTACTCTATTGTCTTCTTTAACGATGAAGAGGAAAGTTAAAATATCTCGATTTGTCTCAACTTCCAAAACAGTACCTATTAGGTGATTGCAGTCAGTGAAAGCTACCCAATCGTTGGGTTTGATGTCAGGGTTTTTCTTGAGGATGCGAACCCAGTCTAAGGGTATCAACTCAACTATTATTTCCAAGACATTCTCCAAATGGTGGCAATATCTTAATCTCTCCTGGATTTCTTCGTGAGTAACTCAATCCTTGGATTCTTTGTTCCAAATATCCTTTATTCTGACTACTCCCTTCTTAATCCATCCTCTCCACGGGGCGTCATTGCAATTCAACATGATTCCTTGATTGTCTCGAATCCATTTCGATGTAAAAAAGGTGTAGCTTAGAAGATGTAAAATTTGTGCGCGTTGAGTATATCATGCATTCACGCAGGAGAGTACAGTATCGTTTTTTTTTTTGGCAATTGCCATTTTTTTTTTATTAACAAGGATGTCAGATTTTCCAACTTTTGTGCGCGTGTATTTGTAGTGTAGAGGAATGTATTCGATGTTCTCATAGATAGATAGATAGATAGATAGATAGATAGATAGATAGATAGATAGATAGATAGATAGATAGATAGATAGAGAGAGAGAGAGAGAGAGAG